CATTCGACAGGGTGAATTGTGACGAAGTGTGGAATATCATGCGGTGATTTAGCTGTCCCGGACTATTCAGTCAGATGGTGCGTCAGCTCCATGATGACATAATGACACGCATTAGGGACAATGGAGCTGTCTCGGAGGAATTTGCAGTGACCAGCGGAGTAAAACACGGCTGTGTCCTCGCGCCTACCCCCTTCAGTCTTATGTTCCCCTCAATGCTGATGCACGCTGGACGCGACGAACGCCCCTGGATCCACCTCGCCTACGGGACGACCGGCCACCTCGTTAAACTGCGCTGGATGCCCTTCTGGTCGCATGTATCCACAGTCACCACCCATGAACTTCTTTTCGCCTATAAGCACATCGGGTTCCTCATTGCCATACGGAACTGTGAGTAAACTTTTTAACCATCGGAGGATGCAAATGTATTATTACTCGATTTTTGCATTCAGAAAAGCTCCCACAAATTTGGGGGCTGAATCCGCTGAACTACTGTACCGTAGCGATGACGTTTGTGGTCTCTGAAAACATGGGCGGTCTCATCAGGGACATTTTCTTTGGCCAACAGCGACAGCTGTTCGTCGGCGCTTCTGGTTGGACTAACCCTAACTTCACGAAAGAAACTGGCGACTGATAATATCCGATACCGTGCAACCCCTCACTTCTTGACGGTCGAGAGTTTGTCGCCAGCAGTTTTTTTCTCCTGAATCCTCCAAACTACTAAAACTACATTCAACTTTATTTCTATTCCTTTTCCACAGGAGGTTTTTTCACTGCTGGCCGGATTAGTGTTTAACGCTTCCCTGACAATTCCTGTAAACTTGCATGAAAAAATTACTATTATTATTATTATTATTATCATTATTTGGTCGTGTTCCTCCAAAAACAACGTCCATTAAGAGAGCCAGACTGAAACAGCTCCTTCTCAGCGCGTTCACGGAACTCTCACGCATGTCACATGTACGTTGCTCAACCCGAGTTGTGGGCAATCGTGGTGCTTATGTTTGAGGAGCCAGGTCGAGCATGTGGCGCGCGTAAACATTGTCAATGTCAATATGTCAATGTCAATGTGTGCAAATTATTTAACCACCAGACGATGCAGATTTAATCGCGTTCCTCCACAACCTCCGTCCACTAGGAGAGTCAGACTGAAACAACATTCTTCCTCAGCGTGTTCACGGCACCCCCACGCATGTCAGATGCACGCTGCTCAACGCGAGTTTTGTGTAATCATGGTGCTCCTCCTCCTCCTCCTCCTCCTCCTCCTCGTCCTCCTCATTCCCGCCTCCCATCTCGCTCACTCTGGCAGCCGGCAGTGTTCGTTCCCTTCTAGACAATCCGGGGGATACCCGACCGGAACGGAAGACGGCACTAGTAACTCGAGAACAGGCGCTATACAAGGTGGACATCATCGCACTCAGAGAGACCCGATTCTCCGAACAAGGCCAACTGGAGGAGGTTGGTGCCGGCTACACCTTCTTTTGGAGCGGTTGACCTAGGGCTGAGCGACGAGATGCAGGTGTCACCTTCGCCATCTGGAACGACATCGTGAGAGGACTGCCCTGTTTGCCGCAGGGCATCAACGATCGTCTAATGAACCTCCGCTTTCCTCTCTGGTGTGGAAAAAGTACCACCCTTGTCAGTATCTACGCTCCGCCTATGAGCAGTCCCACCGAGACGAGAAACAAATTCTACGCGGAACTGTACACACTCCTGGCGTCTGAGCCAACGACTTGGTGACTTGGACTTGGTGATTTTATCGCACGCGTCGGCGCAGTCCATGCTGCCTGGAGATGAATTCTGGGTCAGTGGCTGCGGCCTGAGAATGTGAAGGATGAATGACATCGACGACTCAGCGCATTGTCCTTCTCACTATAAACTATCTGAAGCTATCACGGTGCACTTATAGCCGTGGCTTGGAAGGTTGCCAACTGACCGGATAACATGGATCTCGCAGTCGACCTAATGTGTTTGTGTGTTTGTGTATGGAGTGGCTGGCTGGTCAGGTTCCAGTGGCTCCTCCTTAATGTGGCCTCTATGGCACTCCCAATGCGTGGGATCCGAGCCGGGAGTGGCGGCACGCCTAGGTGCCGTCTCTGCCGCGCCAGCCTGAATTCTTAGTTCTTGCTGATGCTGTTTTTGGTGAAAAGCCCAGTTGTTTGCTGTTTGCATCAGGGGATGGTAATTGGAACGCCAGGGTGCGAACTCGACCATGCCATCTGCCTGCGCCCTCTCCCACCTCCGGTTCTCTGGACTCTCTCTTGACGCCGGGTCCAGGTGGGGGATGTGGAGAAATTGTGGTAGATACAGCGCAAATCTCCATCACTTTAAACTAAAGCACACGCAAGTCAGCGTCCCTGATCTCACCCTGCTGTGGAGCATACGGAGGACGTCGTCGGGTGCGACGGTCAAAATGTTGTGGCCTTGCCGTAGTCAGGCCCAGGCCAACATTGGTCGTTCTTTCACCGATCAATAGTGTGGGATTATAGGGGAGTTTGGCGGCCGTCTGAGACGTATGCGCAACCGTATTTGGTGAAACCACTGTTCATCCCCGCGAGGGGAGTTAGGCTAGAAAAGTTGTTCTAAAAAAATGCTAAGGATCCTCTTTGTGGTGGAGAAATTACCACCCTTGCCAGTATCTACGCTCCGCCGATGAGCAGTCCCACCGAGACGAGGAACAAATTCTACGCGGAACTGCACGCACTCCTGGCCTCTGAGCCGACGACTTGGTGATTTGTCCTTGGTGATTTTATCGCTTACGTCGGAGCAGACCATGCTGCCTGGAAATGAAGTCTCGATGGCTATAACGATAACGAATTGCTCTTCCTAACAACTTGTGCGGAACACCGCCTCCTCCTGACGAGCATACATAATCTTCCGTCTCGCGACGCAAAATAAGGCCATTTGGATACCCATTCGGTCATGGCCATGGCGCATACTAGACATTGTCCTCGTCTGGAGGCGAGACCAACGTGAGCGGAAACCAACTGCAAGTGGCGGAGAACTTCATGTACGTGGGCAGCACCCTCTCCTACAGCATCAAAATCGACGATGAAGTGGCCCACCGCATTTCCAAGGCTTGGCTATAGTTCGGTAATCTTCATAACGCAGTTTGGAATAGTTACAAGTTTCACATCAGCCAAGGCAGTCATCCTGTCGACGTTGATGCACGGAACAGTGACCTGGACTGTGTACATGAAGCAGGTACGTAGACTCAATCATCTCCATTTCAGCCGTCTTCGACAAGTACTGAATCTGAGGCGGCAGGACGGGATCCCAGACACGGACCTACCGAACCGGACGGGGATCCTCAGCATCCTCGCAATGCGGCCAACTAGTACGGATGGACGACGACAGGCCCCTCAAAAGACTCTTCTTTGGCACTAAAACATACAATGAAAACGCCTCTGAAGCGCCTGTAGAGAAACCCGGCAAACTGGGAAGACACCAACCGGGTCAGACCAACGTGGAAGAGGGCAGTGAAGACAGGCGCTACAATCTTCAGAGCCAACCACATCACCACCGCCGCCAAGTCCAAACGCAAATCTGAACTGTCGGACTCGTCTCCGCCGCCGCCACCACCACCGCCGCCTCAAAACGACAACGCCCAATCATCTCCAACATGTTCACAATATGTCAACGGGCATTCTGGACGCCAATCGGACTTTTTGGACACCTCCGGTCCGAGTGCGGCACACTGACTTCAGCAACACCCGTCTCTCCTTTCCACGACGTCAACTAACCTGGATCGTCCTAGCGAGCCCCCACTACCATCTTCTTCCTCCTCCTTCGCCCCCTGCTCCTTCTCCTCCTCCACCTCTTTCTCACCCTCCTCCTCCTCCTCCTCCTCCTCCTCCTCCTCATCATCATCGTCATCCTCCTCATCAGCATTTGCTGATGTGGCTTCTAACATGCCCGTCAATCCTACAAGCAATCATGACACATTAGCAAACACCAACACCACCACCGCAAACACTGATTATAAGGACCCGGTCTATACCCCTCCAAATTGCGATCCTCCCTTCTCCACACACATCGGTCTGGTCGGTCATTTGCGAATCCAGCCCACAAAGGCCGGAGAACTAGTGCCTGGAGCACCGACCTACACCCGTCGCACCTACCAACACTGCCCATAATTCACTCACACATTTATTCACCGCATGTGCCTATTTGGCCACAATCGCGTTCACGAAAACCCGCTGTAGACAACTGCCAGCAGCAACATTCCATTTCAGCCTCAATCACCAGAATCAACAGTCTGTCCAGTTGGGTGTGTGTTTTGCGGCCGTCACGGTGCCTACTCAATCGATCTGTGACACTCTGAAGCATGCGAGGAGATAGTGTGTGCTTCGTCGGTGGTGGCTGCCAGTCGAAGTCGACAACCTTCCTAACGCTGCTGCCCCTGCCGCCGCCGGCGAGGCCGTCGATGTTGCTGCCGAGACCGCCTCCGTTGAGGACCGCTGGTGTCAACTGCGGGATACAATCCAGTCGACAGCGCTAGACCTCCTCGGTCGCGCTCCCCGCCAAATCCAGGACTGGTTCGACGACAACGACGCCGCCATCAGCAATCTGCTCGCCGAGAGGAACCGCCTACACAAAGCCTACGCAGATCACCCCACTGCGGACAACAAAGCTGCTTTCTACCGCAGTCGCCGCCAACGTCAGCAACGACTTCGCGAGATGCAGGACGCCTGGACTGCTCGCAAAGCTGAGGAGATCCAAGGCTATGCGGACAGCGACGAATGGAAGAACTTCTTCTCTGCGATCAAAGCTGTCTACGGTCCGCCGACGAAGGGCACTACTGCTCTCCTCAGCGCCGACGGGAGCACTCTCCTGACTGAGAAAACGCACATTTTACAGCGATGGGCCGAGCATTTCCGAGGCGTCCTCAACCGCCCCTCCGCTATCTCCGACGCCGCCATCGACTGCCTGCTGCAAGTGGAGACCAACGTGGACCTCGACCTCCCGCCATCTCTCCAGGAAATCATCAGGGCCGTGCAGCAGCTCTCCAGCGAAGAGCACCAGGATCGGACGCAATCCCTGCTGAGGTCTACAAGCACGAAGGTCCCCAACTGATGGATCACCTGACTGCGCTCTTCCAGGAGATGTGGCGTCAAGGTGAAGTCCCGCAAGATTTCAAGGACGCAACCATCGTGCATCTCTACAAGCGAAAAGGGAACCGCCAAATCTGCGACAATCACCGCAGCATCTCCTTGCTGAACATCGCCGGGAAGATCTTCGCTCGCATCCTTCTCAACCGCCTCAACAACCATCTCGAACATGGCCTACTGCCGGAGACCCAATGCGGCTTCCGCCGACATCGTGGGACCACGGATATGATCTTCGCCGCCCGTCAACTTCAGGAGAAGTGTCAGGAGATGCGGACCCACCTGTACTCTACCTTCGTGGACCTGACGAAAGCCTTCAACACGGTGAATCGTGAAGGACTGTGAAAGATCATGCAGAAATTCGGCTGTCCGGAGCGATTCACACAAATGGTGCGTCAGCTGCACGACGGTATGATGACGCGAGTCACAGACAGCGAAGCCGTCTCAGAGGCATTCGCAGTGACCAACGGAGTGAAGCAGGGATGCGTGCTGGCGCCAACCCCCTTCAGTCTTATGTTCTCTGCCATGCTGATGGACGCCTACCGCGACGAACGCACCCCGGGATCCGCATCGCCTACAGGACGGACGGTCACCTGCTGAATCAACGGCGGATGCACTTCCAATCGCGTGTATCCACTACCAGCGTCCACGAACTCCTCTTCGCCGACGACTGCGCCCTAAACACCACCTCGGAATAGGAGATGCAACGGAGTATGGGCTTCTTCTCCGCCGCCTGCGCGAACTTCGGTCTGGTCATTAACACGCAGAAGACGGTGGTGATACACCAACCGCCACCCAACTCAGCCACAGTCCCCAACGCGCAGCCGCAAATTAGCGTTAACGGAACCCAACTGCAAGTGGTGGAGAACTTCCCGTACCTGGGCAGTACTCTCTCTCGCAACACCAAGATCGACGACGAAGTCGCCAACAGGATCTCGAAAGCCAGCCAAGCCTTCGGCCGCCTCCAAAGCACCGTTTGGAATCGTCATGGTCTTCAACTAAGCACGAAGCTGAAGATGTACAAGGCCGTCATTCTGCCGACGCTACTGAATGGAGAGGAGACCTGGACGGTGTACGCAAAGCAGGCACGCCGTCTGAATCACTTCCACCTCAGCTGTCTCCGTCGCATCCTGCGGCTAAATTGGCAGGACCGGATTCCCGAAACTGATGTGCTTGAACGGATGGGCATCCTCAGTATCTACACCATACTGAGGCAACTGCAGCTGCGCTGGAGCGGCCACCTGGTGCGCATGGACGACCAGCGACTACCCAAACGACTTTTCTACGGAGACGTCGCGAAGGGTTCTCGCCGTCAAGGAGGCCAAATTCGCCGATATAAGGATACCCTGAAGTCATCCCTGAAACGTCTCCAAATCAACCCGACCAACTGGGAAGAGATCGCGAACGATCGACCGACCTGGAGGTGGGCAGTGAAGATAGGTGCTGCGATCTACGAAGCCAACCGCATCGCCGCCGCCAAAGTGAAACGCGAAGCCCGCAAATCACAAGTTCGACCAGTACGCAACGCCGCCGCGCAACCGGTACCTACGTGTCCTCGGTGTCAACGCACATTCCGGGCTCGAATTGGACTTGTCGGACATCTTCGGATCAACTGCGCCTCTCGGACTGCACCAACCATCGTCCCCCCGCCCGCCTCTTCCTCGTCCTCTCTGCCGCCGCCCAATAACTCTGACAGTTCTTCTGTACCGCCACTTACTTCTTATTCTTCTTCTTCTTCTTCTTCTTCTTTTTCTTCCACTGCTTCTTCTTCTTCTTCCTCCACTGCCCTCACGACGGCCGTCCAGGCGGCCGTCTCGCACTTCACCAACCCTGACACAACTACCGACACCACCCCCACTGCCTCAGACTCCAGCGATGAGGATCAGGAGTACACCTGCCCTCACTGCGACCGCACCTTCACCTCACGCATCGGCCTGGTCGGTCACTTGCGAATCCATCGCACAGAGACTGGCGAATCTGTGCCTGGAGCACCAACCTATACTCACAACTCTCGCCTCAACTGCCCACATTGTCCCCGCACTTTCAATCATCGCATGAGCCTATTCGGACACATGCGCATCCACAAGTGCGTAATTGGCCGCAATCCCGACACTCCCACCGCATCCAACACATCCATGGCGCCCAGCTCAACACTTGCTCCATCGTCCGGTGCACCCATCATCGCTACCACTCCCACCACCACCGACTCCGCTGTCGATGACACTGCCACCGACGACTTCTCATGTCCACACTGTCCACGCATATTCACCTCACGCATCGGCCTGGTCGGTCACTTGCGAATCCATCGCACAGACACTGGCGAACCAGTTCCTGGAGCACCAACCTATAGCCACCAGGTTCGCCTCAACTATCCACACTGTCCCCGCACTTTCAGACATCGCATGGGCCTGTTCGGCCACATGCGCATCCACGATGACCTGCGGTAGACAACCGCCGGCCACACCACACATTCACTCACTCCATACCTCCAACCACCACCATCACACCACCATCCCTCACCACTCACCCACCGCAAGCACCACCTGCCACCTCTCATGCAAGTGGGAAGTGTGCATCTCGACTCGGTCCCCATGCGGCTCCGGCTGCACGGGTGACTTGAGTCCGAGACCATCCCGACACTCAGGTGTCGTGGATAGGAGGGTTGCTGATTGACGCCCCACTCGGTCGACGCAGTCCGTCGCATTGTGTGTGTGTCGTGTGTAGTGGCGGACTGGTGGGCTGGGGACGGGCTGAAGCAGCACCTTCCAGGGCCCTCTCACTCAAGTGAGAGACCCGCCGTTCAACCTCCGTTGTGTGAAATCCTGGTGTGTGTGTGTGTGTGTGTGCGTGTGTGTGTGTGTGTGTGTGTGTATGGGGGGCCAGGTCGTGCCTGTGGCGCACGTAGGCATGGTCAGTCGACCACGCCAGCCACCGCGTTCATTCCCCACTGCAGCCTGCTGACCGGCTCGGACAGCGTCTGCGGTGTGGGAATGGGATGGGAGAGTGAGGTCGACGACTCAGCACACTTTCCTCCTCATTATAAACAATGCAGCTGCAAGTCTACTGGCACTATAAATCCCTGCGCAAGTCACCGTTCCTGCTCCCACAATGCAGTCTGTGGGGCACACGGTGGACATCATCGAAATCGATGGTCGAACTATCGTGTGTGTGTGTGTGTGTGTGTGTGTGTATGTGTGTGTGTAGGGTGTAGGGGTGTAGGGGTGTCAGCGGTGGATTCACGTGATGGTCTTAGTGGTCGCTCACTTGCTCGCTGGTGAGACTACGCCTAGCGTCCATTTGCTGGCACCCAACTCTCACTTGTGTCTCTAATCAGCTGGGCTCTGCTCAGCGGCCGCACCCCGCGTTCTGCCGCGTTGTGACTAATCCCGGTGCATTACACCACCGCATCCTCCCTCAACAACATTTCGACCGCGCCATCTGCCTGCGCCCTCTTCCACCTCCGGTACTCTGGATTCTGTCTTGATGTCATTTTGTCCTACCCCGGAATGTTTTTGTCTGCTAGCTTCGCCCTAGTACTCCTCAACACACCTAATTGGCCACGATGTTGTAAGTTCTCCGTTTCCTCCTAAAACACACCCACACTGATGATGGTGATATTGATCGAAAACTGACACTTTGCTCCATCCGAAACTACCGAATTCGTGACCCAGGTGCCCGCAAAAACTATCTCTTATTTTCCAGCAGCAAGGCGTCTCGTCAGGAAACATTTTAATCACCTTGCTCAATTCCACGTCGGATGTAGAGAAGTAGATTGCTTCTCTTACTGGACAGTATACATTTTTTCCTGACTTCCCTACGACATTTAGAAGCAATATTTTCGACATTAAAATGGTGGAAACAGTTAATATATTCAGCGCTTTACATACTGAACTTTTTCCATAACGAATTGTTGAGCTTTGGTTCTTAAGCCATGTTACGCAGTTCCGTATTTTGCACAACGTCAGAAATGTCTTATCATACAGAGAAGAAGTGAGTCGAATACAAGAACTTTTGCCCACTAGCGGTCTGGCAATGTACGCCAACAAAATCAGACGACCGCCTGGAGTATTTTGCCAGGCTTTTTATGGAGGAATCATAATTGCCTCCATGCAACTTGTGTTACAGCGCCAACCGGAAGTTCGATTGGGACTCTGATTGAATTAATTACGGCTTCGGTATGAAACGAGGTGACACTTAATCTAATTAGAATACACTGGTTAATTATTTTAGCCCAGTGTCTCTAGACTCGAGGATTTATGATCTCTCTGATTTCGAAGAGTGAAGATTTTCCCCTTCGTTTTCTTGGCTTGGTGCCCGTTGTGAAGACTCCCGTGGTTTACTCTAGCGAAAATCAATTAGGTGAAAGCAAGTGATTTTATATGGCTTGGAAGAACACAATCAGTGGATTGCTCTCATACTGGAGACAATCCATCCAATCTACCTATGTCTTAATACTGCCACACACACATCGGCCCGCAAGGAAAGCTAAGCGTTACGGAACTTTTCTTTTCATTTTCTCGCAGATTTGGCTGTGTCGGCGGCGTACTACGTATGGATGCGGGTTGGCGCTGTTCCACCGGTGATGGCAAAGTTCTTCTTCGGCTGTTCGCACACCAAGATTCAGCCAGTGGACGCCCTTGGAGCTCAGATCCGACAGCGTGTTCTGCAGGCCAAGCAACGCCTTCGTCAAGAGCAGGCCGCCAAGGGACAGGCTTGTTATGGAGAAAGCAAGCGGCGTAGAGCTACGGCCTATAAGGGGCTGAACAGGGGACCAAGCCGCCGGCGTGAGACGCGCGGCCGACCGCCGTGCACGGCAGCGCTGAGCACGTGTGGTGGCTTTGCACGCGTGCGGCCCAATCAACGGCTGGTCGAACATTCCAGACGTTTCCCCGGGGGGCTATCGCGCACGCGGTGGCCAATCAGCGACCAGCACGGCCGGGACAGGAACATTCTAGAACGCCCTCAACGGCTGGCACGTCATTGGACGGAATGTTCCAGAACTCACAGGGGCCAATATAAATAATGCATCTGCCTGACGAGTTGCAACTCCCTCCTGTCCGCAAGTTCCAATAAAGTCTTGTCCTCCGAACCGGCTCTCTTCCTGTTCCACCTTCCTTCCGGGTTATAACAGGCTACTTTCACCAAGACGGTGCCCAACGGCTTTGCCACAGCCATCGACTATCCTGGCATCGGCGCCAGCTCACGACCTCCGCTAGTTCCGCCCAAATCCTCTCAAGACGCTGCTGGGAGCGAAAAAGTTAGGCGGACGAGTTCAACTTCTCGGCCCGTCGTCCTCGTACCGTCAGAACTCCAGATCGATGTCGTCAAGACGAAGAGTGCTGAGTTTCGGGTGAATCAGGGAATCAATCGAGTGGTCCAGCCCCAGCGGCTGTATTCGATCGTGTCCAGGCGACCGCGATTGATGCGGTGGGGGATGATGGGCGCCTAGAGTCAACCAACGGACAGACAAAGCGTGGAACTACTGGAGCTGTGGAGCGTTGTCGGAGAAGAAAATGCAAGCGGAAGCGGAGCCCCGATGTTTGTTCATTGCCTCTCCGGGAAAAGCCGCAGGTTAGTTTTACTGATTGTGCGATGACGTTTATCTAGGTTACGTACAGGCTTCTTCGCCAGAAGAGTTGATTGGGGAAGTTTATAAACTAGTCCTCATTGTTCGTCAACACGTAAAAATCGGGTCGTTAGAGCATTAACGCGATGCATTATTATCAACCCCACCGGTTCTGCCTTAGGCAGAGAGAACAGGGGAAAATACTGACCAGTATTCTCATTGTATTGACGCCCAGGGGATATTTGGGCATCCTCCTCCAGAGATTTCGGTCGGTTTTCCAAACACACGTGCCCTCCTAGCAAGTTTGTCTAGCAACCTCCTAGCAAGCGTTGTCTACCTCAGTTGGTAGACAACGGTTGACTCCTGGTGGTTAAAGATAGGCTCTTTTAGGACGCATCCTACACCAATGTATTGTTGGAAAATCTTGTAAGGGACTTCCAGTGTGAGCGAAGTGACGAACCTAACCATGGCCTAGGAGGCACCCTTCATGCACGGAATGATCAGCATGATCTGGACTGGTTGGACTGTTTGTTTCTTCACCCTGGAGACACTCGGTTCTTCCGAACGAGTGTTGTTAGACGAGCGTCGGATGTCGAAAGCTGCCAGCGTCGTTTGGTTTTGTCCGCTTAGCGAATGGTGTACTGCAATAAGCATCCATTCGTCGCTAGGGCCTGCATACAGAACTCCGTTGCCGTTGGGTCTTCTGGTTTGTAACGTTATGGTCGGTGTTTCATGTATACCTTTGTCGTCAGCGGCCTTGGTTTGATGGCGGATGATGACACCTGGCAGGGGAGGTCGGTTAGACAACACTAATCTTGTCCCGGTTAACAACGAAAAAAGTAGCCGATGGAAGCGATCAGTTGAGTTCCAGAGAACGGCTTAGAAGAAGAAGATGCGATCACTGAAGCAAAAGTTTTACTTGCCTGATTTTCCGAATTCTCACTCGAACCCGCCATCAAAACAGTCGCAGGTGATGATGGGTTTGAGTGGGAATCAGAAACGTCAAGCCAATAAATTCCCTGTCCTAGTTATCGTATCTTCTTCCTCTGCACGACAAGGACCCCAGGAGCATAGCTCTCTACAAAATGAACTTATGGGCCTTAAAACCAGTCTGTGAGGAAATCGTGTATGCTTGAGTTATGCATGCGTGTAGGCTGAGGTTAGAATTGGAATTAAGATTCGATCTACGCCTAAGGTTTGGTTTAGGGTTAATGTTACGCTCAAGACACGGGAGTAAGTGCCTTTCCCGAAATTCAGCACAGGATAACTTGTAGTACAGGGATAGGTTAGTTGCTGTCCGTATGCCCTCCCAGGAATCTTTTAAGATATCCTCTCCTATCTGTTTTTAGAGATTTAAGAGGACCGCTTTAGAAATGAGCCTTTTAACGCCCTTGGCATCTTCCATGGCATTGTGTGAGTTTTTTGGTGCAACGAGATTCCTTGGCACAGAAGGAAGCCTTTTGGCTCATCTATGAGAGAAAGCGGCCAGGTGGACGTTGGATGTGTTAAAGCCGGATCCGCGTTGAAGGACCTTTGTTTGGTCCTCGGTGAGTCGTTTCGACGTGAAGTCGTACACTGACATCTATTCAGCTTGTGGAGCTTCGTGGGTTTTTGTTAGTCTACCGGCAGGTCCGCATCCCCGTTTGCACGTTTCTCTCATCCCAGGCATGTCAGCGTTTTTTTTTCCGGTGTGATGGCAACCGCCACTTCTCATAATGGTCCGTAACAAGCACTTTCGTGTGTGGGCGCCGAAGGCGTGTATTTATAAGTGAGCAACCCTTTCATTTGAGACCACATGCAGAACCCTGTCCGACTCGGTAAGACACCGGAAAATCTCAATAAACAACCAATTGCAAGAGTAATGGGTAGAATGGCGGGGTTGAGGATATTTTAAACTCGCCAATCATAAGAGAGAAAAAAATATGGCCCTATCCCTAGGCCAGAGAACAGGTGGGGACTGTCATTGAGATATGTTTATGTTTTGTAGCAGGGTGCAGGAAAGAAAATGTTGGGTCCACCTCGGGCCATTGTTGTTGGTAGGCTTGAATGAACACTTTGCGCAAGCACAAGACTGAGTTGGCTAGCTGTATGGCCACCTATCTCTGTCGTCAAAGGAATCCGCTGACGCAGGAATGCGTCACCAACACCCTGTAGATGACTCAAAGTGGCTTATTGAAGTCCAGTTGTTGGATGAATAAAACCTGCTTTACGGCATCAACTGGAGGCCTAAATGCCCACTGAAGAGGTCTTTCTTGCAGACTGTTTCATATGGAGACGAGTTGCTTCTCTAGCGTGTTCACAAAACACATTCTCTTGGCTCGTATAGACCAAGTTCCGTTTTTGACAAAAATGTGCAAAACCTAGTTTATTGTCCTGTTCATGGATTCTTGCAAAATGCGCCCATACGAATGATCCCAACAGACGTCCAATTAAGAGGGACGTACAGAAAGGAAAGACACCATCGCTTTCCTCTTTGCGGAGGGAACGTTAACGCTGAGTGAGTTTCATACACCTTGCCCGGCCGGCGTCCGCATTAGGCCTTTCATCCGCTGTTGCCGACACACCGAACACGAGAGCCAAGAGCTTCCATAATCAAAAAGACTTGGTCATTCCCTGGTTTCCCATGAAAAAATCCGCCAGTAGGGGTCCAAATGGTGGTCACATCGCCCAGCCGTCAAACTCGCAGCACAATTGACCGTTAAATCTGAATTGAGCACTCAGTACTCGGCGAAGGACGGGTTCATCTAAGGTTACAACTGGTATACTCAGTGGGAAATCCTTCTTAAGAATCCCGTCACACAAATAGGTTAATCCTTTTTGAATGGAACTCTGGAGAAAAAGAAGGCGGCATCTAGGGAGAGCATCGTTTTTTCTTTGCATTTCTTATTGAATCCTTGAATGCAAAAGTGTCCCCTAGACTTTGTTGCGCTGCCTTGCTCCACATCGACTGACATGTTTCGATTAACCGCTTTGCAGTTGAGCAATAAGGCGAATTGTACATGTTCGTTATCGATCGCATAGGAAGGTCGAGTTTGGGGATTTTCGGTAAACCACGAGGCCTCGGGGAGGGGGGAGGCTTGTGCTAGTGGAAACGAGAGATTCGAATTCTTGTTTATTGAGGTAACTCCGGCCTCCCAGTTTCTAAGGATTTGTCGCGAGTTTGTTTTATATAACTTCTCATCTTCGACCCTTCGAATTTGCATTCTAGACTGTTTTATCTGCTCTATGATTTTGAAGCCCTTTGCAAAATTATGGCGCGTTCGCTCAATACAATAAAGGAGGTTTATTAAAGTAACTACAGCTGACGGTAGGGTATGTGGTATTTTTAAAACCTTATCAACAAATAAGACGCAGACTGTGTTTCAAACACTATCAGAATCACGAATGGCTTGCACTCAATCATTGAGTGCTTCGAAAGATTTGTAGTCCAATAGCTTGCAAACTCGAGAAGTAAATTTCCTGTTGTGCGCACCCCTCTACCTGCCTGACTCTGATTGACTCGAAATGTGCGCGTTGGGAAGTGGAAGAGGCTGTATTAGTTTGATTGGTGTTTTCCTCATTGAGACTCTTGTAGGTTGCTATTGAATTTTTGAGAGAAATCCTGACTGCACATAAATGCAGGAGAGAAAGGCAGCAACTCCACAGGGTCTGGCCTCATGTATGAGAACGTAATTATTAATATCGATCATTGCTTCCAGAACCCCGAGCTGAATTAACTGAGGATGACGTTTATATTACCAATCTTAGTTCTTAAAGAAATTTAAGTTGAAAATGCGTCATAAAACGCTGTCTTTAAAATCTTGTCAAGACTGAGCTAGAATTTTCAAACGAAAATAGACTTCTGCCAATAGAGTCGAGAAAAGAGATGATCACACCCGTCTGAGAGAGAGAAACAGCTCTTTTTTAGTGATTTCGTCGAAACTCTCAGCCACATCTCCTTCTCATCGTTCCTCATTCGTGACTGTTACACGTCCGCTGACAAAATAGCGCTTTTAATCACTGTTACAATTTGATTTGGGTTTTGCTATTTCTACGCCCTTTTCGGGTCGGTGAGTCCAGGAATGACAGAAAACCATTTTTTTGTTAGTTTACACTGAAGCAGAAAAAAACTAGTTACTAGTGGTCTCGGCAAACACCCTTATTTGTTTGCGTTCCCAAACATGCTAATCCGCAGGGGCGAGTGGCGGAACGAATGCTGTAATGACAACACCATCCTTGGCTGGAATACAATTCAAATTTGGCTACTAACGTTTGTGAGTAGGCGTTGCATATGTTCTTATGAATATCATGCATTCATTGGCTGACTATGGAGACCAGCGCTGATGCCTCTGCTAACGCAGATCAGTGCCAGGCCGGTCTCTACGACAACGCAGCGCCGCCGGAACTCCCCACCCCTGGAGCCAATTTTGTTAGCGACTTTGACGCAACCCAGCCCTCGAGGCGGCACCGCTTCCCCCGTGACCCCCGTCTACGGACCTCACAGTCGGGGACCCCAAGTCAGCCTGCGGCAGCATACCTGAAAGACAATGCAGAGTCAGGTCTCAAAGCCTCCTCCTCATCATCATCATCATATGGGGAAATGTGATGCAGCCAACATCCGTGGCGTCACCGTCCGCGACGACTTTAGTGAGCTTCCGTTCTGCCAGCACAGACTGCGTGCTGAACGGGCCTAGCCTTGGAGGCAGAATCAGCGACGGTCTAGGGACAGGCTCGTCACGCGAATTCGACTCCCCTACCTCGCCCAAAAATTGGGGTTTCTTTCACCTACGACCCGGAAGCTTGGCTGCTCGACGCATAAGTAAGTTGAAATACTCCCTTAGGCAACCAAAAGTTTGCGCCGGACTAAGTCAATCAAGCTTACCAACACAACTTCAGGCCTTGTGTAAAATTAAACTGTGTCGCTTATGACAGAAGCATAGGCCTACAAATCATGATTGGTAAGCAGTCAGAAGTTGCAGTTTCAGTCCAGGTTTCTTTCTTTCTTTATTCTTCTTATTCTTCTTTTTCTTCTTCTTCTTCTTCCCACCTTCTTGATTGCTGAGACGTTGGCGGAGTTTCAATCCACTCTTTTTTCCCCAGAAAATGCGAAAAATGGCATCGCAACTACTAATGGCGTCAACACGACTGCATACGACCGTCAATTCAGCTACGATCTATTAACGCCCACATCACCGACTGACTGCTCGGCCAGGTCCTCTTTCTCGGGACACCCAACCAACCCATACAACCATCAGGCCTTGGGAAATCAGAGCGTGCCAATTCAGACATACGGCGCATCTCCTTTACAAGTGGGCTCTCCAGCGTCAATCTTGAGGGCCTGGTCGACGTGCTGCAGGAGTTGCGCGATGCCAACGCAAGTGTGACGGCCGCGGTG